TAAAGATGAAAATTCTGATCCAGTATGCCTAGGGTGGGGCCTAAGATTCTGCATTTCCAGCAAGTGCCCAGGGAGATGGCGATGTTGTTGGTCTTGAGGGTCACATGGGAAAGGGCCAGGGGGTGGGGGAGGGGTGGGTGGTGGTGGTGGTAGTGATGACAGGGGGCGTGGAATCAGGACTAGACCTCCCCACTTTGGGCTTTCCCGTCTGTTGTGAGAGTTTCTAATCCACATATGTCCATCACCTAGGCTTGCTTGCAGCTGCAAGAAAGAGAAAACCAAACCGCCCCTCCCAACCCAACTCAATGCCATGAATCAATGCTGACCCATTGCACCCCCTGCCCCCCATGGGTTTATGAGACTGTAACTGTTTACAGGAGTAGAAAGCCCAGTCTTTCTCCCTCTGAGCTTCTGGTGGTTTTGAACGGCTGACCATGTACCCATGCCAAGGGAAAGCCTGTGATAACTTTGGGCTGAAACAAGAGGGAGCAAGAGGGAGTAGGTGTGACCGAACCAGAAGCCCTGTGGGTGAAGGGTAAGGGCTGACCTGTGATTCCATAGGACCCAGGCCCTTCGCATCTTTCTCCTAGGGCTGTGGCCTCACGGTACTGGGAGGATGCCAGGTATGGAGAAGAGGGAAGTGCAGAGTTGTCTTTTTTTTAAAAGTTTTCCGAGGTGTCCCTCACCGTCTTGGGTACAACACCGTCTCAAGAAAGTGGCCCGTTCTGTGCTCAACTGTGTGCTTAGTAGGCGGTGGGCACAAGGCTGCGCACTAGAGATCAAGGGCAAAGAGATCGCTGTTTTGTCCTCAGGAAGCTCCCAGAGGAACTGTGAGGAGGGCCGCTCTGCTATCCCCGGACTCCAAGGCCCACGCTGGCCACTCTCCCTGGGACCCTCTGGAGAGCGGTCGGGAAAGAGAGGCGATCAGCGGGGTTTAGAACGTGAGTGGTGGAGATGGGCTGAGAGGGTAGCCCGGCTGGGGAGGGCAGAGCACCTGCACTCGGGGCCAGAGGAAGGTGGCGCACAGGGCTCTCTCCTAGTTCACACCCGAGGGCCAGCTGGTTCACCTAGGTGTTTGGGTTGGCCACACATTCTGATTGACCAATTCGACCTCCTGGTTTACACCTGGATCAGTGAGTGCAAAGCGGCCTCTCCTCTCTTCTGTGGGTCTCCGTGGTGCCCTTCCTTTGCGTGGTTCCTCATCTTTTCTCCTCTCTTGTTGCTTCTTCTGAGTATTCTCTCATGGAGCCCTGCGGTCACTGCTGGGACCCTGGGCACACCCTGGCACCTCTCCTTGCAGAGTCTCAAATGTCCTCTCCTGATGCCTGGCAGACACCGGATACTCCATCCTCCCCTTTCTCCATTCCAACCCCCCACCCAACTCACTGCCCTTGAGTTGGGTCGGACTCATAGGGACCCTACAGGTAGAGCTGCCCCCTTCGGGTTTCCAAGAAGGTAACTCTTGACGAGAGTAGAAAACCTCATTTTTCTCCCTCAGAGTGGCTGGTGGTTTTGAACTGCTGACTTCCCAGTTACCAACCCAAAATGTAACCACTACACCACCAGGGTTTCATGCCAACCCTCATCCCACCCCCATATGACATCTCAGGGCCTTGCTCAGATCTATGGACCTCTTTCTTCACTTCTCTGTCAAAACCACTTTTCTGACCAAGGCTCTCCTGGTTTCTCTCCAGGGACTGGCATGGGCCCGAGGCAGCAGGCCTCTCAGAAAGCCAGCAGGATCTGTAATCCCCAACTCCCGTGTTTCTGACTTGACACAGTCTTCTACCGTAGCATTTTGGTGGCCGGTGACAGTTCTGCTTCAAGCCCCAGTATCTTCCTCTGAAACCTGGGAATACTGAACTCCTCTGTTTTTGAGTGAGACCCAAATGGGACAATGTGCAGGCTGTTAACTGGGAATGATTGCCCTCAAGACAGTGCGGAAGAGTGAAAGTTAAGCGCTTGGCTGCTCACCAAAAGGTTAGCGCGTTGAGCCCTCAGTTCGGCAGCAGTGAGAAATTGCTCATAAAGATTACTCAACAAACTCACACCACCCACGCACAGCAACTCTATGGGACAGCGTAGAACTGTCCCCCTGAGAGTTCTGGAGACTGTTAACAGTTTCCGGGAGTAGAAAGCCCTGACTTTCTCCCAAGGAACCAGTGGTGGTTTCGAACTACTGACCTTACGAATTCCAGCCTAGTTCATAACCAGTTGAAAACCCTCTGGGGCAGTTCTACTCTGTCCCACGGGGTTGATGCTCCTTGGAATTGACTTGACACCATCCAGCAATAACAACTGCCTTGTCCCGGATGAGTCTGTCAGGATGCCTCGTGGGGGCTGAGTTGTTTTAGGGTTAGGGAGAATGGTCAGGATGGAGCCAGGAGGGTGAGCTCTTCCACAGCTGGAGGGTGAGGTCACAGACCTGCCATGGAGGGAGAGGAGTGTGATGGAGGCTCCTCCCCGCGCCTCCCCTAGCACTTCATTTATATCCCAGGTGTTCTGCACTCAAACCATGGAGCAAAGCCTTGGAGGCGTCTGGTGCGCCTGCCACAAAGGGTTAGGTAAATAAGCTCACTGCTCCTTGGGGGCTGTGTCCTGCGATGGGCCCTGCCCCTCCCACTGCAGATTTATGGGCCTCCAGTCGCCTAAGCATGTGCCACTTCACTTTCGCTTCCTTGGGATTACCAGCTGCAAAGGGCTCTTTCTCCTGCCCTGGGCTGTGGGGGCAAGGCCTGGAGCCTGGGGCTGGGCCTGGGCACCTGGTGTCTTCCAGCAGAGCCTCTCTCTAGCCTTTCTGGCCCCTCCAGTCCAGGGGATGCCAAAGGCTGCTAGAAAAACCCTGGCCTTTTAGGCATCCCACCGAAATCCAAACCAGTTGTCCTCAACCACTTTCTGGCTCATGGCGGCACCCTGTGTGTTAGGGTAGACCTGGGCCCCACTGGGCTCTCGGCTTGATTTCTGGATGGAGATCACCAGGCCTTTCTTCTGAGGTGCTGCTGGGGAAACCTTCTGATTAGCAGCCAAGTGTAGTCAACTGCTTGCAACACCCTGCTAGGTACTCCATCTCTCTCATTGTCATTAGTCGATGTCAGCTCAAGCCAGCAACCCCAGGGCACAGGGTGGGGGGACCCCTGTGTCTCTGAGACTGTGACTCTTCCTGGGGGTAGAGGGCCCTGGCTCTCTCCCACGGAGCAGCTGACCGTGTGGATTGCAGCCAAACGCAGAACCACACGGTCACCGGGGATCCATGCTTCTAGGCACTAGCTCCGGTTTTATTATTATTTTAAAATTTATTATGAATTGGAATTTAATACATATATCATTCCATATTTCTGTCACATCGGGCAGAATGGTATAATTGCTACCACAGTCAGTTTCCAAACATTCTTCTTCTTCCTGGACTCCTTTTACTGATCCCCAACCCCTTGCACCCCTCCCCACCAAAAAAACCCTATTCCACTGCCTGTTCTGATAGGTTCATCAGTTCTGGGTTTCATATACCAAAACACAGGAAAACATAAAACACAGCTTCAAGAGGGTGACCTCCAATGACATAACACCTGAGATATACGCTAATATGAACAAACAAACAAATAAAATACAGAACATGTTCCAAACCAAATCAGGTCTAGCCTGCACCGAGGGGGGATCAACCGACAAGGTTTTTAACTGTTCAAGTCAGAATCATGCCTTTGATCTTCTATACATATCTCTCCCATGTTCTCTGTTTAGTAACCTTATTATTTTTAACACCGGCCTGTATCTGAGACATAGTGTGCAAGGAGGACTTACAAGAAGTTCTGTTCTCTTCCCAGAAGTAGCCACAACCCTCACCAGCCCTCCCGCACTTCTGTCTTCTACTGAGCGGGGCTCTGGGGAGAAAGAGGTGAGTTAGAGGTAGCCTCTCCCCTAAAAGGAGAGAGGCAAAATACAGGTGTCCTTCACGCTGTCTACAGTCCTGAATAAGGGACTCAATGGCGTGTTCCTTTGAGGATTCAGACCCGGAAAAGCTTTTCCCTTCTTGAAGACAGAGAGTACACGGTGAGCTACTCATGTTTATTTATTGCCTTGGTTCTCAGGAAGTTCACTGCAAAATGAATGTTCTTTTAGCCAGGGCTCTCCACACACCTAACTCCTTCAACTATGTATTTAGGCACTGATTGGAGCGGGCTTATGGAGAACTCTGAGTCTGGCACTGCATTAGATTCTGGGGATAGGTAATAAAACAATAGGCCAGCGGTCCCCCCCC